AACTGGCGGCAATCGCTGGGTGCTCGAAGCCCTGGCGAGTTCTTGGCTGATTTGGAAGGTTTGCTGTAGTCAGAAAGGCGGTCGGTGTTTGAGTGAGAAAAACCAGTGCACCTTGCCGATTTCACGCTAGTTTGCGAGGAACAAAATCCTTCTTTTGACTGGCAAAAACCAGCGAAAATGGTAACCCTGCTTGGAGAGAGCGCACGAGCGCATGGAAACCATTGAAGGTGGAGATTCGTTGGCATTTCCCAGTGGAAATCACGTTCCAGGCTTGACTTGAGACAGCGAATTGCCATTTCGAGTCGCGGCGGAATATGAGCCGTGTTCCTAGGGGTAGTTTCCCTTTGGGTTCTAGGGGTACCTTCCATTTCCATTCTTTGCAGAGATCTTGCTTTCTAAACAACCTCCGGAAAACCCAAGGGAAAATTACGTGTTTTTTTTGTTTTTTTAAAGCGATGGTTGAAAAAAGAACGGGAAACCAACCCCCAGAAGGGAGACACGGCACCCCAAGGTGCAACCAGAAATTCCTTAGAGAAACATGTCTTCCAGCATGTGCAGCTTGGATTTGATGTATGTGCGGCCTTTTTTTTTGGATGGCACCATGGAGAGCATGGAGAAGGGCAAACTGGGACGACGTTCTACCGACCCCTGATTCATACATCACTATGAATAGGCTCAGATGTTTTCTGTTTCGCCAATGAACAACCCTTAGAGTGGTTTGGATTTGGATTTGAACTCCTCATTCGTGTAGAGGGCAAATGGGGAGCTTCCCCTCAACCACCAAACCACCAATCCCTTAGACTGCTGCCTTCGGCTCAGGTGAAACGGCGAAGAACGGCAGCACCTGCGACACCGCGGTGAAGCTGGCGAGGACCGCCACGCGGCGCATGGGCGTCGCCACCTGGCACCTTCGGCTCAAAAGGGTGAGTTGGGTGTACGGACTCCCTTCCCCAGTTCCTGGACTTTTTGTTTGCCTCTCTGGGAGATTTCCCTTTCTTCCCCAGTTCCTGGACTTTTTTTTTGCTTCTCTCGAAGTTCACTTTGGTGGTTCCCAGCCATCCGGTCCCTTAGCTTCTGAGCTTCTTGGTTGGTTTAGTGGTAGTTTCCGAACCGAACCCATGCCCTTTCAAGTTCACTTGATCCACAATCAAAACCCTGGTAGATGAAGCTTGGTAAGGGACCATCCCAACCATAAATAGCTGCGGCCGCCTTCTTAATTATTTACATGGTTCTGGGTTGTTAAAACCCTCCTGGCCCCGTGCCTAAATTGGGAAGCAGTTCTGAGGTCCGTGTTTGTGTTGCTTACAAGGTTCCATTGATTGCCAATTGGCTCAAGACACAAGTGAGGTTCAAGATCTTATGTGTAGCTGCGTTCATACGTGATCGGCAATTGAGAGCGGAAAACACTACGCTTGCGCTGCATTTGTCAGGACCACTGTTGTAACTATTATTCCTTCTCCCTTACAACATTTGCACGGGTTCGGCTATAACGGTTTGACCGTATACACCTTTCTACGTGGTTGGTATTACAGCTGGAGGGTTCGGTGGACAGCGTCCCACGGGACGTCACCTTGCCGTCTCTTGACAGGTTATCAGCCGTATCGACAAGCTCTACACTGGACAGAGAGACAGCTGGTTTATTGCGGGTACAGGGACAATAAAGGGACAATAACCTACACGGTACAATGGCATCTTCAGCGAGCCCAAGTACTGCAACTTTTGGGAACAGCAGCTCAGAGGGATCCAATGGATTGATGGCTCTTCCTGCGGTGATGGATATGATCGCAGATTCACAGGATGAACCTGGGAGCGGAGGATCCGCGCTATTCAGCGACATATCCACTCCCACAAGATCATGGAAGCAGATCGATGTTCATCAGGAGTCGAAGCAAAGAGAATCCCCGCCGAGAAGATCATCATCTTCGCCTGCGACACCACGGACGTCGCAGAAGGGCGTGAGGTCAACATCAAAAGGTGGGAGGTCTAAATCACCCACCAGTGCAGAGTTTCGCGCCGCGATTAAAGAAAAGAACAAGATGGAGATGGAGATCGGGGAATATCAAAAGACACTTGATGAAATGTCGGCAGCAATGGCGAATCTTCATCAAGAAGACTATGGGAGCACCATCCGGATCCAGGAGCTGGAGAGACGATGCGAGATTGCCAGCAAGCAGTCGGGACATCTTGTGAGTCACCACCAACACCACATGGCTGAGGCATGGCGCAAGTTTGAGGAGGAAGCCCAACAGATGCGCAAGGTGGAAATGAACGCATATCAGTACGGGGAAAAGAAAGACATGGAGTCGAATGTTATAATACAACAGATGAGACAAGCTGAAGGAACTATTATGGAGCAGAAGCGGGAGATTGCAGTGATGAAATCCTACATGGCAAGCGAGAAGTCGGCCGCGCAGGAATCAGCTATACATGCAAATCAGATACACCGTGAGGCTTCACAACAAATATCAGTTTATCAGCAACAGATCAGAGGTATCGAATCGTCTACATCTATCGAGAAGTTCAACGAGGAGGAGATGGTCCAAAGTCTAAAATCACAGTTGGAGCACGCACTCGTCAAACGCCCCGAGACGTACTCTATGGAGGACTCCAGGGAACAGCTGATGGCGAGACTGAACGACGTTACAATATTCGCGGAGCAAGAGAGCAGAGTGCTTACTTCGCGAGAAGGAAGAGATCGTCAAACAGTACGAATCCGACGTGTTGAAGAAGGACCAGATGATTGCTATCGAGGGTGGTCATCGTCAAGATGCGGTCTTGGAGTTAGCCCAGGTCAAAGAAGCAAAACAAGAAGAGCGATGCACGATGGACGAGAAGTCGAAGGAGGCTGAGTACTGGAGATTGACAGCTAAAGGAGTGTATGATGAGTACCTCGAGGAGATGCATGAACTTCAGGGACAACTGAAGGATCGAGAGGCGACGCTCAAGCAAGAAGAGAGTTTTGTTCGTCAACTCGATGCTGACAATGAGGAACTACGAGCACTCAAGAAGCTGGAGACACAGGAAGCCTCTAGCAGTAAAGATGGACATCGTGAACGAGCAGTAGTGAAACGCGCTGAGGGAGGACCCCAAGCTAATTCGACTAGGGTAGACAAGAGGGTGACTGGGTTATTCCCGTCATCATCATCAAATCTGATCCCTAATTCGTCACTAATGCCAGGTTCGATTCTCTTTCCGTCTTTTGGTGATCCAATGATCGATGTACACCTATCCCAGATGCAAGGGGTTGTTGGGAATGTCCCACAATCCGCTACTACAACTGGTGGTGGTGGCAATGGAGGGGGAAACAACGGTACTACACCCCCATTGGATTACGGTGGATTCTCGCCCAATGGACATGGACAAGGGGCAAGTCGACGTCAGTTGAGCCTCACAGGTGGCGGAGGAGGACCTCCGGATGACCCACCCGATGATGAGGACGAGGATGACGACGACGAAGAGGATGAAGAGGACGAGGAAGAAGAAGAGGAAGAAGATGACAATCGGACACGGAGGAGGCGCAGAAGATCGAGGGATGATCGAGAAATCAAGAACGAAAGACCGAGGATTTCGAGGAAAGAAGCCGAGAGGGTGTCTATTCCTGCTTGGCCAAAGATCCATCAACTCGATAACTGGAAGATGCAACTGCTGATGAATGTTCTGAGCGCATGCGCAGATCCAGATACTGACACATGGACGAAATGGTTGGAACAGGCTCTTGGGTTAAACCCAGACCTAAATGTGCTGAGCGACTCCGGCGGCGACAGATTTGCTACGATAGATATCAAGATGGCCATGGGCATGCAGAACATGTTGAAGCAAGCACCTGACGAAGCCAAAGACGTGTACCTCGACGCTACGAGACATTCGGAACTACGACATCAACAAGGGGTGATCGTGAAGGGACGAGAGTTGGTGGCATTGGTTATGCAATCATTCAGAACGTCTGATCGAACGGATCTTGTCTACCACATGGAGCACCTATTCAACCTTGACTTTCCTGGAGACAAGAATTCGGTTATATGCAGGAACAAGTGGTATGATTTGTTGCTAAAGATGAGGAGCGAAGACAGACCCAGCAAGTTGGCTCTCAGAGATATTCTCTACAGGAAGATCAAAGGGAGCAAGAAGATGGAGTTCGGACTCAACGCCTACCATAGATTGCCGGACAAGCATCCTCAAAAGACGTACGAATTCTTGTTGGCATTGATCGACCATCAGATCAAGGCGGATCGGGAGGACCTGATGCTTGACATGAAGGAGAAATCGGTCAAGTCGATGATGAAGTCGGGCGGGAGAGATGCAGCCCCGGCCACTGGCAAACAGGAGAACCAGGGTGGCAAAGGCAGAAAGGGGAAACCCAGTGGACCTGATGCTGCTCCTGTACTCCCAAAGGCCAAAGCAAAGGGTCACGCTGGCAAGAACGGCAAGTCCGACGGTGCCAGCGACAGAGGCAAGAGTCCGGGCGGAGGTAAAGATAACCCATGTTGGTACCACTTCAAGTCAGCGAAGGGGTGCGTGAAAGGGAATGAATGCAATTTCTCCCACAGCAAGAAGACGGAGCACAAGCTGGAGAACATGTCCAAAGGGAAAGGAAAAGGTAAGTCCAAATCCAGATCATCGTCACCAAAGAGGGATGATGGAGCATGTTTCGCGTCTCAGAAGGGAAAATGCGACAGGGGGAGTGCTTGCAAGTATAGGCACGAGCTCATCAAGAACAATTCAGCTCCGGCAACGTCAAGCGACAAGGCACAAGCCAAGTCGAAGGCTGCCGCCAAGGCCGCAGCGCCAGCTATTGCAAGAAGGGCCATCGCGATGCCTGCGATAGTCCTGAAGCAATCGGCTCCTGCGGGAAAGGTCAGCTTCAAGAAGGACGTTGACCAGGTCGAACCGGATGAAGCCGAGACTATCTACCACGAGCATGATGACGACGCAATGAGCGAATCATCAAGATGGTCTGGCGAGTCCGAGATCCCCGAGAAAATGGTATGGTTCAAGGAAGTACTCGAAGTCGACGAGAATGGGGAGATCACCTATCTCGAAGACGAGAGAAGGCAATGGGAACGAAAAGGGGAATGGTACGGCTATGAGGGCAATGAGAATGAGCCTTATCAGTACGTGCACGTCGACGAGAAGAAGTTTAAGAGCAGTGATCATCGAGAATTATCAGCCTATCAAGTCCAACGATCATTGATAAGAGCGAGAATACTGAGAGAGGTGGTAGGCGACGTATACAAGAAACACTACTTCCCAGTAACCAAGGAGAGCAGCATAATGTTCGAATATGATCGGAACAAGGACGAGATCAAAGAAACGGCCGTCGACTGGAAGAAACAGCATGATTTGCCGAAGAATGTGTTCGCAATGTCAACGTGCATCAGCAAACGGGTGAAGTGGTTGATGGACACCGGATGTGGTCATGATCTCATTGGACGAGCCAAGGCAAAGAGTCTGGGTGTCGATATTGTGAAGGATGACGATGAGATTGTGTTCCAGACCGCAAATGGTTCCACTTCCACATCCGACGTGGCCAAGATAGTCGTGGACGAGTTGGATGAGACTGTCGAGCCGCACGTGTTGGACGAGACACCCACGGTGTTGTCGGTAGGGAGGAGATGCATGAAAATGGGTTATGCATTTCACTGGATGCCTGGTAAACTACCTTTCATGGTTACACCAAAGCAGGGATTCGTGCACTTACAAGTCAAGGACGACATCCCATACCTCGTGAGTGATGGTAAACTTCGGAGTAACAGGCATCGCCCTACGGTAGACGACCTCAAGGAGCACTTTTCGGAAGTATTGGCAATGGTAACGAACGATGCGGCAGATCAGGATGGCGACGATGACAACGAGGTCACACCCGCCGCTGTCGGTGAATCCGCAGAGGTCGAGGGCGAGCGCCAT